GGCTGCCAGCTGGATGCAGCACCATTCACCACCACTCTCTGGGCATGACCATCCAGCCAGTTCTTAACCGAGCAGAGTGCTCCTGTCCAAGCCAAGGCCTGCCAGCTTCTCCAGGAGTATGCTGTGGGAGATAGTGTCAGAGGCCTTGCTGCAGGCCAACTAGACAACATCCACAGCCTTTCCAGCATCCACCAGGCAGGTTACCTGGTCATAAAAGGAGACCAGGTTGGTCAAACACGACCTACTTCTCCTAAACCTATGGGCTGGCTGGGTCTGATCCCCTGGCCATCCTGTAAGTGCTGCATGATGACACTCAGTATAAGCTGCTCTATTTCCTTACCAGGTACTGAGGTCAGGCTGACTGGCCTATAATTACCAGGATCCTCCATCCCACCCCTTTTGTGAATGGGTGTCACATTGTCCAGCTTCCAGTCATGTGGAACCTCACCAGTGAGCCAGGATTGTGGCAAATGATAGAGAATGGCTTTGCAAGCTCATCTGGCAGCTCTCTCATCACCCTGGGATGGATCCCATCTGGGCCCATAGATGGATGAACATCCAAGCTGCTCAGCAGTTCTCTGACTGCCTCCTCCTGGATAACAGGGGGGCATCCTGCTCCCTGACACCCTCTACCAACCCAGGAGGACAGTTGTCCTGAGGACAAGCCATCTTCCCACTAAAGACAGAGGCAAAGAAGGTGTTAAGCACTTCTGCCTTCTCCTCATCTGCAGTTACTAAGTTCCCTCCCACATCCAGTAGAGAACAAAGGCTACTCTTCCCCTTCCTTTTGCCATTAATATATTTGTAAAAACATTTTTTATTATCTTTTACTAAAGTTGTCAAATTAAGTTTGAACTGAGCTTTGGCCTCCCTAATTTTTTTCATACATGTCCTAGCAACCCCCTTAAATACCTCCTGAAAAACCTGACTCTCCTTCCAAAGATGATACATCCTCTTTTTATTCCCAAGTTCCTTCAAAACCTCCTTGCCCATCCAAGCTGGGTGTTTGCCTCATCTACTCACCTTTTGGCACACAAGGACTGGCTGTTCCTGTGCCCTCAAGATCTCTGTTTTGAAGCACACCCACCTTTCCTGGACACCTTTGTTTTTAAGGGCTGCTTCCCAAGGAACTCTCTGAAAAGGTCTCCTAAATAGGCCAAAGTCTGCCCTCCAGAAGTCTAATGTAAAAGTCTTATTGATGTTCCTCCTGATTTCACCAAATGTCAAGAACTCTATCATTTCATGATCACTATGCCCCAATCAGTCTCCAACCACCACATCTCCCACCAGCCCATCTCTATTTGCAAACAAGTACTCTAATGTAGTCCCTCCCCTGGTGGGCTCACTAACCAGCTGTGACAAAAAGTTGTCCTCCACACACTGTTAAGAACTTCCTGGACTACCTCTTTTCTGCTGTGTGAAGTTCCCAGCAGATATCTGGTAGGTTAAAATCACCTACAAGAACAAGGGCTGGTGATCCTGAGACGTTCTCCAACTGCTTATAGAATAAGTTGTCCACCTCTTATTCCTGGTTGGGTGGATGATAGACTCCCAGGAGGATGTCAGCCTTGCTGGCCTTCCCCTTAATCCTTACCCATAGGTACTAAACTTCATCGTCATTAGTTTCAATACCCATGGCATTAAAAACCTCCCTAATATAAAGGACCACCCCTCCATCTCTTCTCCCTTTCCTGTCTCTTCTGAAGAGCTTGTAGCCATTCAGTGCAGCGCTCCAGCTATGTGAGTCATGCCACCATATTTTTGTGATGGTGACTACATCCTAGCTTTGCTCTTGCACCATGGCTTCCAGCTCTTCTTGTACCCATGCTGTGTGCATTAGGATACATGCACCTCAGCTGGGCTGCTGATCTCACCCCTAACTCAGGCTTACCACCGTTGGGCCTCCTTTCAGAGAGCCCAGCTGCATCCCCTTCCCCCTTCAAATCTAGTTTAATGCCCTCTCAATAAGTTCTGCCAGTTCATGAGCTAAAATCCTTCTGCCCTTAACAGAGAGATAGAGCCCATCCAGTTTTAGCAGGTGCCAGGTGCCATAGAAGTTACCCCATGATCAGAAAACCCAAAATTCTGCTGATGACACCAACCCTTGAGCCACTGGTTGATAATGGGGGCTCTCCTGTTCCTTCCATCATTTGTATCTGCCATCAAAGGGACTGAGGAAAAGACTACTTGTGCTCCTGCTCTATCAACAACTTGACCCGGTGCCCTAAAGTCCCTTTTAATTGCCCTGGCACTCCTCTTTTCAAAGTCATCACTGCCAGCCTGGAGTATCAGCAGTGAGTAATAATCAGAGGGCTGAATCAGCCCAGGAAGTCTCGCATCCCTGGGCCCCAGGGAAGCAGCAGACCTCCCTGTAGGCTGGGTCTGGTTGACATACAGGGCCCTTTGTTTCCCACCAGAAGGGAGTCACCCACTACAACTACCCTTCTTTTCTTTCTAATGTCAGAGGTGGTGATCCATCAGACATATGAAGCATAACTGGGAGGCCCACTGTGCTGACCATTTTCTTCTACATCATCTGGCTGACGCTCTAGATCCAGGACCTCATGCCTGTTCTGAAGCGGCACCTGGGTAGATGATGGGGTTCAGGAGGAATTTTTATTACCTCCCCAAGTAGGGACCTATTTCCACTCCCCTTCATCCACCACGCATCCTCCTGATGGAGGGAGGCATGGGAGGCCTTCAGAAAAATCATCAAAATATGGTGCTTCATCAAATATGCCACAGAGCCCAGAGTTTGTTCTCCAGCCTCTCAGTTTACCCTGCAGTTGGTACATCTCTGACAGGGAGCAGCTTGACATCCCATGTGGGACAAGCAGTAATTTCTGATGTGCTGGTGCACTGGGTTTGCATCACAATTCACAGACTGTGAGTACTGGGTTGTACTGTGAGCATCATCCATATCCTAACAGGGGAGAGTCATGAAAAAGCTGAGAAAGAGACAAAAGAGAGGAGGTTGTTGCCAAGTCACGAGAGGAGTATTTCTGCATTACAGGATAATGATGGAAGAGGAGCAATGCTGGAGCCTGCTGTCTGTTCTCAAGGTTATATCCAAATATTTTGATCTGGGAAATAGGAAATAGAGGAATAGCATCACTACGATCCTATATCATGCAGTCCGTGACAGCTTACTTTTCCCCTATGGTATTTGCACTCTCCTGTTTGAGCTGAGCTCAGCTGGTAGGGCTGAAGACTTGTAGGTGGCCTGTTATTTAGAGAACTATGCTGGAACATGAAGGGAAGAAATGGATTCAAATCCTCCCAGAAAACCAAGATGGTTCTGAATTACTGAATATGACCCTGTTCTAGAGACATCTCAGCATCTACTGCCAGAGGCAAGTCCAAAGTCTACCTGTTCTTAGAATGATATTTATTTATGATTTTAGTAACTACACTCTCTTTAGTCAGGGTTAGAAATGAATCCTTGGATGAGAGACAGTCATGAGAACAAACCAAAGGACAGAACTAAGCACAAAATTAGGGACATTTTAAGTACCAATGAACAAGTACATCTCATTTTCAGTCAATTCAGGCATGGCTGGATACCCCATTGCTCATTGGAAAGCTCTTTCTGAAGAAACTGACACCATTTATTGTTTTGAAACAGCTCTGTTGGTGAGCATCTAGAGCTTGGGATGATGTATCTAAGGCATCACAGATGTCACCCAGACCTGGATGCAAAAATTGCTGATGGTACTGTGACCTGTGGCTGTCATCATCATGTGGGAACTGACAATGGTCAAACAAGAGATTTTTAGGCTTCAGGCATTAGCCTGAGCCTGTGTGAAATTAAGAAGCACAACTTTCTCACTCTGGACTGAGAAATCATAAGGAGGAACCCAAACAGTCCTTAGAGAAGGAAAAAAACCTTTGCTGGTGTTGTCACCTTGTTGTTTACTTGCAAGAAATGGTCAAGGCGGTGGTGTTCCTAACTGTCCAATGATGGTGATGTGTTAGTTTCATGACCAATAAGAGGTTTACCTTCTTGGACCTTCTCATAACTGTTTTTAAAAGAAGATCTGGAAGAATAAAACTTGCTCTCTTTTGCAACCAAAGTGAGAGAATCTGTTTCGTCCCTTCGCCATTCCTAATACAGTACGACATCATCACAAAGAATTCTTGTTACACATAATGAAGTAACATGACAAGATATTTTGTTAGGAGAAGGGATTACAAGTGACCTCCCTCCTGATGAGTCACAGAGATATCCAATAAAGTGTGATAAAAGGGGTGGGTTGGCTGTGCAGGGGAGGAGCTTGAGAAAGGATGCTGAGGAAGAAGGAACAATTCAGAAGGACTGGCCAAACATCAGAAAGAACTGCTGCTGTGAAAGATCTGCTGAGATCAGGGTCTGCAGATGGATTCAGGGTCTGCAGATGGAGCCTGCTGTTAGAACCTGCAAAATTCTAACTAGATAAAACTAGGCTTTTTCTAGGTAAAAGCCTGCAGTCAGGCTGCAAGGCAATACCTGCAGTCATAGTCAAGCAGGAAATACCTGCAGTCTGCAAGGGAAACCTGCAGTGAGAGCTTGCTGTAGTGAATAGTTGGAGTCAGATGGCTGAATTGTGAAGAGGAATAAACCAGGGCCCTTTTCATGCTGTGATAAACAAGCTGTGATAAACTCTCATTCCTGTACTCTAAAGAGAGGGCTGCTGCAACAGTATTTATTCAGTGTCATTGTGTTACTGCACACTATACAATGCCATATATGCATTCTCAGCAAAACATGATCTGCACTTACCTTATAATCCTTTTCAACATTCATTATTAACTTCAGAGTGCTGAACAGTAAGATATAGGTGAGGATTTCCTAAATAAGCATTGATACTCAAAACTGTAACAGTTACAATCCTTATCTAAACACAGCTACAAACACCATTGGGCTGGAGAACACTCATAAGAAATCTATACATCAATACTTATATAATATGCATCTATAGAATAATTAACACAGTAAATTAGTCCAGGGAGACGAGACTTACTTCTTCTTCTTCCAGTCCTGTTAGATCCCAGAAGTAACTCAATCTCATCTGCAAACGCTTCCATTGTTCAAGGAACATGGTAGCTTTAAAAGAAATTAAACAATTTAAAAAATAATAAATCCAAAGCCTTGTGGCAAACATTTGTGTTACTTATAAGCTTCAACTGATATTTGAATCACATTATGCTAGACCCCTTAAAATTAAGCACCAAGAAGCAGCCTCAGGCCCAATTTTAAAGAAAGAATTCAAGCAATACATGCAAACAATAATTACTGTCTTTTAAAAACAAAGTACAGAAAGATGGAACATGAGTTGTCCAGAACCACTGTTCTTGTCAGGGAATTGAGCTGAGCCCATAACTGCAGATATCCACGGAAGACATAATCTCTCTTAATTCATCATGAAGCATTCTGAGGCAGGTTTAGCCTGCTACTGAAAAAACTAGGATCCCCAGAATAATGTAGAAAAAGATATTTTTAAACATATTACCAATGGTGTAGTTAAATTCTTTTGTCCTTCACAGACATGGTGATTTTGCCCTAAAGGAATGGCCCCTGGTTCAACCTCCTGCTTCTCCTTTTTTTACTAATAAGAAGGAACAGATGTTTTACTGTTGTCTCATGTTTACAGTCTCCTGGCTGTCCTCTCATAATTGCTGTTTCCTCAGTATAGCACTTTTCCTAGTTGCTCATAATTTATGGATTTATGGATTTATTAGAAATAGCACATATAAATCTTGGGTTGTGGACACGTATTTTCAGATAACAATGTCAATACTAAACCAGTTGATGCCAACTAAAACCACCTAAACTCTACCAATAAAAGCTATACCTATAAACAGCTGTGGGCACTGCTTACATTTTCTTATGCTTCACCTCACTTTCAGTGCATGAAAAGGGTATTGCAAAAACACTGTTAGATCACAGCAGTGTTTACATCACTTTGAACATCTTGTAGATAGCCCCACAAGGCAGACAACAGTAGAGAATAAGAACAGCTTCCCTTGACGGCATCTACACTGTCAGATAACACTGAGAGAAGTGGGAACTCTGTGAAAATAACCTGGCTCTTACAAGTTATAATCTATCCCAACAGTTAGATGCAAATATTTTCTTCACAGATATCATCCCATCATATAAGAAATAAATATCATTATTTCGGCAGCACACTGAAAGCAAATCCAGACATTAAGCAACTAAGTTGCTATCTGTGTTCCTCCCTTACAGAAGAGAGAACATATAAAAGCTATATTTAGCATGGTTTGAAAACTCAAGGGTTTTTAGATATCCTAAATACAAAAACATTTGGTTATTTTATAGGGTGCAATTACTCATTCCATTCTTTCCTGTTACACAAAAACTCAGTTCCACATTTAGCTCTGTGAGAACGTACTTGGCTTGATGCAACAGCTAATCTGAAATCAGCACGTCTGCACTGACTTACACCAGCAGAAAAATTAAACTGACACAGAACAGGTTTGGCTTGGATATTAGGAAGAAATTCTTCCCCATGAGGATGATGAGGCCCTGGCACAGGTTGCCCAGAGCAGCTGTGGCTGCCCCTTCCCTGGAAGTGTTCCAGGCTATGCTGGAAGTGGCTCTAAGCAACCTGGGATAGTGGAAGGTGTCCCGACCCATGGCAGGGGAACTGACTGATCTTCAAGGTTCCTTCCAACCCAAACCATTCTGTGATTCTGTAAAACTTCTAAATAAAGGCATCTGACACTGAAACTGAGCAGCAGGATACCAGTGAAATCAAGCCCACTCAGCCAGGCATTACTGTAAATATGGACAGTTTCAGCAAGACTGCTGGAATCACAAAGACACTTCACGAGGAATCAGGATCAGCTACTAAAAGCATGGTTCCTTTTGAGATATTAACCTTAGGAAGTCTTCTTCTTTCTAAAGAATGGGAGAAGACAATCAAGACGAAAGAATTCCTGTGCCCAATGCCCTCAAGGAATGAAGCCGGCCCAGATCACCATAGTTTGCTCTTTCAAATATACAGCTGGAGTAAGTGCATGAGTGAGCTCTGCCATTCAACAGATTGAGCTCTAGATTTAACCAGCACAGTCTCTAATAGCAGGGCAGCAAAATTTGGTGTAATCTAATACTTCATAGGCAAGCTGGGCAGAATTAGTAAAGGCTCTATTATTTCGCTTTGCTGCTCTTTGTGTATGCCGGCTGCATTTTCTTGAACTGACAAGCTCAGTTATCACGGGTTAGAGAAGAACAGACTTTTCCAATCTGCAGGAAACATTTTTTGGAGGAGGGCTACCACTCTGAAAGAATTTTTTTATTCTTACATGCCTTTTTTTAAAAGCAATGCATATGGAACTTTTTGTCCTATTCTCTTCCATAGCAGATTCTACTAATTTGTCTTAGTGGAAGGATATATCAACATTTTCTTTTGCACACTGCATTGCTGATACTAAAATACAATTGTTCTGGATGAGGTTCAGTGGCAATTGTCATTTGCATGGATGCCAATTTACAGTAAAGTTTCTCTGTTGGAAAATGATATTTTATTTATCTTAAACTTCAGAGCAGGAGGTGACACTTAATCTGCCAGTCTACCCTGTAATCTGAAGTAGTAAAATAAATTATTCTGAGAGCCTAGATATTCATCCTCTTTTTTCTATTTCTCATAGAAATAATTCCCATAATTCTCACATATAATGTTTGCTCTATGGCTTCCAGGAACCGTTAAACAAATGCTTCTTGCTTCCGTGATGTGTTCTGTCTGCAAGCTCCTTAAAAACTTTCTGCTGTCCTCACCCAATGCCAACCCACCAATCAGTCCTTTCTAAAACAAGCTGTAAAATCTTAATAGGCTTGCAAAGAATAACACACTGGTTGCTGAGGGATGGCTATAACACAGTAACATATTTGCTCAGTTTCATATTAAGGATGATAATTTCATTTTGGGAACAATGAATAGGGAAATAAAAAATCATTTTACAGTAGCAATAACACATTTAACTTTCATAATAAACAAACTCTAGAGTAAAGGAGAGCATAACACCAGCAATAATTCATGCAAGCACAGTACACACACTTTTCAGGGCAGAAGTAAGGCCAGAAACAATAAAAGTAATACTACAATGCATTCATTTATGTTTATGAAGTGTTTTGATATCCTCATGGAGACAGGGATATTTGCCATTAAAAAAAAGCAAGTTTGTTTAAATGGGATATTCTAAAATATATTACAATTAAAATGATAATAGTCCCATTGCTCTTGGAATCCCATAAAGTTTTGATAAAATTATGTGACTGAGTTGTCCCACAAGGAAGTGGGACTGTGCTTAAATTAGACTCTTTCAGCTGTCTGCACCATACCAATCGTCAAATACGTTTTGTCCCCAAATGCAGAAGTTGTTAAAAGGGTGTGACATGTAGATGAAAAATGAAAAAAAAAATTTGCAAATGCATGGCAAAGTTTAGAAGTGCCATTAATGGCACAATTCCCTTCATGGAGAAATGGCCTCAAGATGTGCCAGGGGAGGTTCAGGTTGGACATCAGGAAGAATTTCTTCCCATTGGCATTAGAAGGGGCTGCCCAGGGAGGTGGAGGAGTCACCATCCCTGGAGATGTTCAATAAGCAACTGAACACGGCACTCAATGCTCTGGTTTAGTTGACAAGGTAGAGATGAGTCAAAGGCTGGTCTTGATCTTATAGATCTTTTCCAGACTTGATGACTCTATGATTTTAAACATGGCAGTAAAGGAAGAAAGAACATTATTCCTTCCCTGAGCTACACAACTCCATTTATTCCAGAACTTGCTGTTGACAGTGATACTGCTTTCCCCAGTCTCCACCCAGACAGATCTCCCTGACCCAGCTTCCAAAAGCCATAGAGATCACATTCAATTCAAAGAGCCTTTTGTTATTTTGTGAAGAGTCCAAATGGCACTGTTAACTTACAAAGCAATACTCACCCCAGAGAGCCATAAAGATGGAGAAAAAAACTGTGGCAGGGTTGTCAAACAAGTGACTTGCTCGAGCAGTGGCACAGGCAGAGCTGAGGTTCCAGTAATCACAGAACTTGTCACACAGGGGGCACATGGTGAAGGCATTGCGTTGGTCACACATCTCTTTGCTGTGACAGACAAGTGCACAGGTTCCTCTGAGTATTCCAGCTCAGAAACTATGGATGTGCAGTAGTAATATTACAAGCTGTCTGCAATATATGTGGCCTGCACTTGGAGAGAACAGGAGCTGTGTGTTTCTTCAACGTTTATTGCCATGGATAGTAATTTTTTTTAATCCTTACAAGGACTTTACCAACAGGAAAATGATACAACAGTCAACCAGAATGATCACTGCACTGTATTAGTGAATTAAGGAAGACAACATCACTGAAGACTGAGGTTAACCACACTTAAAACAAAATTCAAACACAAAAGTGGAGTTTGCATCTCTGCAGTCAGTTACGTGATTTGATACAGATCAGATATAAATCACTGAAAAGAAAGACTGAAGGGGTCACAAAGGAAATTCAGTGTTGTCAAAATACACATTTTTTAATATGGTGGCACAAAAATATGGGAGAAGAGTTTTTTTAGAGATTTTAAAATCTTTACTGTAAGGTTGTTATTTTGATTCTTGGTCTTATTTGCTACATATGTATTCAGTTTCTAAAATCTTTGAGAAAAACATTATCAGTATCACTTGAACAGGCCAAGCACTTCTTATCAGGGCTGAGAATCCTTTCAGTATTTTCCATAAGGTTTGGATATGAAAGCCTGTTGCAGTCCTCTCCTGGGGGACCCCTCTTGTCCTGCCCCCCGTGGTGAGAGCCCCGCTCTTCACTGAACACGCATAGTCTCACTTAGGTGAACTGAGTACTACAAAGCTCAAATGTCCTTGCCAGGATCATGAGCTGAGTTGCCACATTGTTTCAATGACATGTGATTATGATTGTTCCTATATGGACCATCCTGAAATAGATTTTTCCTTACATTTTTAAATGAAAAAAGGACTATTCAAGCTCTATTATTAATATGTTTATATTATATTGTTTGAAAAACATGCAGCTGTTTCCAGCTCTCATGCTGTTACAGTAATTCACTATTTCAAAAGGCAGCAGAGGGTGCTGCAGATACATCTCAGCCATAAATCTCACTGGAGTTAAAATGTTAGCAGAAGCTTTCATCCCAACAAGCGCCAAGATTTATTCAGATCAAGCTAAGAAAACAGACCCTGCATCTGATGTGGTGCTATTCATCATTTACCTATCAGTAACCTTGTCCTACTGATTTTAAAAGCTGTCAGTTCAGGGACTGTCATGATTGTGATCAGCATACAAGTACTGCAGTATCCTGCCTCTATCAGAAGTCAGCCATAGATAACACAGAGGATTTTTTTTTATTTTATTCACTGTGAAGCAGACATCAATATCATGGTGCCACTTGGGTAGTTTTTGTGTAGTATATTCCCCTCAGGATACAAAATCTCAACATTGTTTTGTGTCTAGAAGGGGAATACTGTGAAGACCAAATATAGAATCATAGAATGGGTGGAATTGGAAGGGACTTTAAAGATCATCCAGTTCCAACACCCTGCCAAGGGCAGGGACACCTTCCACTATCCCAGGTTGCTCAGAGCCCCATCCAACCTGGCCTTGAACACTTCCAGAGATGGGGCAGCCAGAGCTGCTCCAGGCAACCTGTGCCAGGGCCTCACCACCCTCACAGGGAAGAATTTCTTCCCAATATCTAATCTAAATCCACTCCTGTCAGTGTGAAGCCATTCCCCCATGTCCTGTCACTCCAGGCCCTTGTCAAGAGTCTCTCTCCATCTTTCCTGTGGGTTCCCTTCAGGCACTGCAAGGCCACAGTGAGGTCACCCCAAAGCCTTCTCTTCCCCAGGCTGAGCAATCCCAATTGTTCCCTCAGCCTTTCCTCCCAGCAGAGCTGCTCCATCCCTCTGATGCCCTTGATGTCCCTGCTGTGGCCTGGCTGCAGCAGCTCCCTGTCCTTCCTGTGCTGGGCCCAGGGCTGGATGCAGCCCTGCAGGGGGGGCTCAGCAGAGCCGGGCAGAGGGGTAAAATCATATCCCTTGATCTGCTGGCATTTAGTAAATCTTGTAGCTGTTGTTCATATTACTTGTACAAATGGTCTGCTTTTAGTGAGAATAAAGTGTCACAAGAGTCATGGACAGTTTGCTTTAATTTCAGTGAGTTTTACATTGTGACTTTCTGATTGAGCAGTGAACTGTGTGCACTCATAAAAATCAAATTAATATCTTAGAAAACAAACTCAATACAGTGGACTCACCACACATTTCTGTTTCAGGAGGTGAGACACTGACCTCCTGATTATTGAGTTAAATAAATGTGTACCTGTTCAATGCCTTTGTGTTTGTAATGCTCTCAGGGTTGATAATGATACATCACTGCTCTTCAGACAAGCTAAAACCAGTTATTCTTACTATGGATTAATAAGAAAAACACAGTCTTATAATTTTGAAGTAACAAATCATGAATCACAGATAAGCTTACCTAGGAATGTCACTTTCAATGGTTATACATCCATATAGAAATACAATAATCCCAACTACTGAAGAGGGAATGAGGAATTCCGTGTATAAACCCAGCCATGCAAAATAAAGTCCTATCTTTTCTCCAAAATACTTCCTGAAAAAGAGAAAAAAAAAGAAGAAAAAGCATATGTCAAGGGTATAATTTTCAAATGTTTTTTACAGCTGCTAAACAGTCCCAGAAAGTTAAAATACAAGTTGTGAAAAATAATGAATTAAAACCCTGAGGATCTTGAAGACAATAGGAACAAATGAAGGGTATGATTTAAGCATTTTTCAGTTTGGGCTTCTCTGTTCTGAGAAGTTAAAGACAGTCCTGGATCATTCTCCTGAGCTGAAATTAAGCAGGTATCATTGCAATCATAACATCTATTCAGAGAACACTGTGGTATTTACATCTCTTAAAAGAAGTCAGTGGAATAGGAGGAAACATTGGAAAATACTTGGCTCCTCAGAAGAGCACGTTAATTTTTGCCTCTGTAGTACTCCTGGGTTCAGTTAGTGACAACCATAGAAATGACATCCATGGGATCATACTGACATCTTAAATGATGACTAATCTGGAGCTGCTGCTAAAGGAGGAAAGTTTACTTGCACACTTAGCACTGGCTTTTCAAAAATAACATTTTTGTCAGGTTAACAGCCCCTGAACAGCTGGTTAGAAAAAACAGTGTCTGCTCTGAGGAGCAGCCCACTGCAGATGTCGATAAATAAGTGGTAGAACTCAGCTCAGCATCTTCATGAATCACACTGCAAGTAAACTAAGCTTGGATGAACCTCACCAATCATTCCAAAATACAGTTAGGAGTGATTACAAATATTGCAAAACCCAAAGAGCTTCACAGAACTCAAGAATTCACCAAAATTTAGATTAAAAACCAACAAGGTTAAAAATGTTTCACAAACCAGAGAAGAAGATGGAGCAGTGTTGGACAGAAATCATCTACACAGAGAGCACTCAGGGCATGACAGGAGTATGAGTCAGTGAGACATTTACACTTTGATAGCAGCAAAAATTAAAATAAATTCATACTATCATGTCTAATAAAAGAAATATAAGATTTCCTCCTCATAAAGGTTGAGCACAAACCCAGTTTGAGATTTATTCTAATCCCACTTACCTTGGAAAAATTTTATCCAGGCTTAGCACCCCAAATTTAAATCATTCCTACTTAAAATGCTTAAATGAGATTTTTGGAGGCCCAAACTGAAATTTTCTACTCCAGAAGCTGGGTGTAAGGTCCAGACTGCTCGTGCCACGGGAGAGGCAGGACAGGAGTGCAACCAAGGCAGAAAGCCAAGAGACAAGACCAGCCTCTACAGTCACTTCTAGCTCAGATGAAATGGATAAGGAAAGCAACAGTGAGGAATTTTTAATACTACAGATCCTGCTGTTGTTCTCATGCCATCACAGCTGTACCTAACTCTGCACTTCCAGGCTCTCCCATGGAAAACTGTCATTGCAATCCTGCCTATTTCAGTTTTGCCTTCCATGAGTGCCTCTGTTTTCTCATGTCTAACCAAACTTGATTGTGCTTTAGAAAGGATACGTGCAATACTAAAGGGCAAAGCAAAACAAAAGCATTTTGAGGTGATACACAGACAACCTTATCTTCAATAGGAGGGGATGCCATACAGAAGCTGAGAAACTTCAGGAACCTTCTAGGAAAAGAGTACAGCCCCTACACCTGATGCTGCAAGGTACTCTATGCCACAAACTGTGTGAAGTATCAAACAGCACAAGTGAAATCACAGTGTGGCTTGAATGGTAATAACTTAAGATTTGAAGCACCTTGGGACAATGGATTTGCAGGGAATACAAGGAAATATGGCATTATATGATACAGCATATTTTATGAAATGATAACTATAAATACTTGTGTTGCAAATCCAAGCTTTATACTGTGGGACTGCCCTCTGACCTGGCACATGCCTCCAATTTTGGAGGCAATTATAAGAAGCGGTTTTACTTTATTTTTACATTTGTAAATAAATACATATTTTTAATATACCTGTTTGTTAATATACTAGGTTGTTAATATAGTTTAATACATGTTTTAATACACTTTTTTAAATATGAAGTGAGAGAAGAAATACTTGATTGAAATATAGAACTAACCAGAAGGCCTATAGCTTATCTTCAAGCCTCCTATGTGAGTCAACAAACAGCAGCAATGGTGTTGGAAGAGCACAGGATAGAGGGAAACTCCCTTTGCTGTCAAGTTTCCTGCTGACTGGGGAGTGACAACCATAAATTTGATGCTAGACCAGGAAAAGGAGGACCAGAGGAAGATTATTCTGATTATGTCTTCTTACTGCTTCCTAGTCTGTAGAGATGGGCAATGGGCACAGCTAGTAAAGTGTTTCAAATAGGTCAGAGCAGGCACAAAAAATTGTCCACAATCTCAGCTGTTCAAAACTCTGTTCTTTTGACAAAGGGCTACGAATAAGCAGAGAAAGAGTTCAAATGCCAGCAGCACTGAAGAGTAGCTGGTCAGGGAAGTTGAGTTTATGGCTCAAGAGGCTTCCCCTCAAATTTTTAAGTCTTCCAGTGATAAAGGTGATCTGTAACCTATAAAGCGAAGGGTTGCTACTTGTATCCATGCCAAAAGAAAGCGAGATCAACAATGTCCTGGCAGTATGGAAAAAAAGCAGTTGCCAAGAAGAAAACTGCACTGTGTTTTGTGGCTTAACTGTTTTGCAAAAGGAAAATAATTTGGATTCTGTGCCCAAGCTCAGTCCACCAATGTACCAGAAAGTGAAATAATCTAAGAAGAAGCAATGACAGAGCTTGGAAACATAATGAACAATTTAGATATGAGTTTATCAAGTCAGAAGAACACAGGACATAGACATCTCCTTTCTTTGACACATCCCAAGAACTCTTCTCTGGTTCCTCTGAATAGGTGTCAAGGCTCTGCAAACACCTGTGATCCCCTGTACCAACATCTACTGCAGCTGCTGGATTCAGTAGTGAATGAACAGAGGGAAAAAATGTGTGCTTCAAGGGCAGAGGAAGATGTAAGTCAAGATGAAGGTTTTTTACATATTTATATATTTACACCAAGAACTTGGCATGTTTTCTCATCTACACTGGGATAAAATGAGTCTGACTTTGTTATCCTACAAGAATTATCCATGATTTATGCTGGCATGGCAAAAGACAAGACTTGAGACCAGAGTCTTGCCCTACCTCAGTAGCTAATTCACATCTACCTCACATACATCCAGGCAAAGCTAAAGACTAATCCTTTCCAAAGTGTGCACATGGATATTGCAGAATGTCACAAAAAAATATGTGCCCCTGGCATTTTGTGAGCTTTATTTCTGCATTAGGGAAATACCCCTGTATATACATGTATTCCATGGAGGCAGGGGTTATTCCCAAACTAAAGGGCAAATGGCTTTGATAAAGAATGTGTACTGCTTCCATCAGGAGCAGTACCCAAGGCTTTTTTTCCGTGTGTTGATAAATCTTAAGGTGAAATTTTGTGCCTTTTATTTTAGAAGATTTTATAAAGGCTGCTTAAATGGCCACCTACAAAGTACTGACTTCTCACAAACAAGAATCATGCCTTTAAAGAAAGATTTGGTCAAATTACCCATAACCCCTGAACAAGCTGAACAAGAGCTGCTTTTCCAGCAGATTATCAGACACAGCATTAAAAAACTCCCAACAGCAACAACAACCACCTGTAGAAAGTGTATTCCCTCCCAGAATTAAAATGTTGAGAAGGCCATAGCAGAAGTGTTGACTTGGTTCCCTCTGCTTCACCCGCATAACACTTAAACCAGACATCTGCAGTGCACTTTGGTCTGTCTGGTTGCAAAACCAACATCAAAAAGAATAACTGATTATTAAACCCTCTGCTTGCACGTTGGTCACAGTGCTCCCGTGCCAAGTTGTGCAATTTATAAATAGACTAAGGTTTGGGGAAGGGGGGAGAAAGAGAGAAGGAAAAAAACCCTTCAGTTTTGACTCTGTGAAAACAAGTGTGGGTACCTGGAATGTGAATAAAGCGTATGGTGCGTGACACACGCTGGAAAGAACGCTGGAGATGTTCAGGAACAAAGCTAAAAAAGCGAGGAAAAAGCGCCATGGACACTGAGTCACCTAACTGGAGAATCTGCACAGAACTCTTCAGTTTTTTAATTTCCATACCCCACTCTAAGCCAGCTGCCACTTCATGTTTCCATTTCATTCCACCACCCCTTTGGTGGAGGAGTCGTTTAGACGCAGCAGTTTCCATGCAAAACGAGACTGATTTACAGCTGCCTCTTGGGTAGGTTTCCCCTGTGCTAATGGTCAACCCAGTCACACGTATTACTAATGCCTTCAAAATAAACTTATTTGCACAGTTTGGGGGTGAAATTCTGGTGTTTCTGCTGCTGGGGAGAAGGACAAGCAGTTTAGTTTCATGTCAGAACACCTTTAATGCCAAGGATACTTTGAAATTTTCTTTCCCTATCCAGGTGCACATTCCCTCTCTGACCCCCAGCAGTAGTCCCCAGGATCACTGCTTATTCTTCCAGGGCTTTTGCAACCTGAAGAAAATCTACCATTATGCTGCAGGTAGAACTGTGACTATCCTTAGAAAGTGAGACACAATTTCTAGCACACGGTAAGTTCAGAACACAGATATTTCTTTTGGTTCTGAGATAATAGTTCCTACCATTGGAAGTTTCCCTCTCAAAACTGCAGACTTCTTTCAGAAAGACTGCTGGAGTATAGGGAAAGCCACAGTCACTACAAGATGATCAGGAACACTGCAGAACACCCCAAGATTTCCCTCCAGGTAGAGCTGCCTATATCCAAACTTTTCTGGATTTTCCATTCTTTCTTCACTTGAAAATTTTCTCAGGGCCAGATTCAAGCATTTATTACAACCATCTGTGACACCTGGGTAGAATTACTGCTCAGCAGCAGCACTGAGGCTGCTGTGCATCCAGAGATCTTGGAGATTTCCACCATGGTTGTGCCTGACAGCACATATTCCATCCAGGCAGTCTCAGGAAGGAACATATCAGTGCTAAATCCGGATACACAGAGAGTGTACCAAATGGAGCAATATGGAAGCTAAGAAAAGATCCTGGCAG